CTAACTGCCAGGAAATTTCTCCTTAGTTCTAAGTTGCTTCTCTCCTTGATTAGTTTCCACTCATTGCTTCTTGTTCTACCCTCAGGTGCCTTGGAGAATAGTTTGACTTCCTCTTCTTTGTGGCAACCCCTGAGATATTGGAACACTGCCCAGTCATGAGATGACAGTCATGTCTCCCCAGTGAAATGAGAAGGAATTTAAAACATCGCATGCATGCTGACATTTATGTCTTTACAATCCAAAGGAGCATAGAAGAAAATAGAGTGAATAGGAATGCACATAGATGGGTTTTTATTTGCAATCTAGTTTGCTCTTAGAGGTTCTGAAAATGAATGGCAAATGTTTTCCAGGAATCAAAGAAAACATTAGATCAATGTGTTTTCAATCCTGGCTACTTTAAGATGTGTGGAATTCGATTCCCATGCCTGTCAGTGTGACTAACCACAAATATAATGAAGAAGGCAAAGAAGAACTAAAAGTAAGACAGGCATGGAAGTGAACAGGTTTCCTTCATAGTCAGCATAGCACTGTTCTATTTCCCATGAAAATCATGATATTGTTCTAGAGGTAAAGCAGAAAAAACCCTTTTCTTAGAAATGTGAAGAGTAAAGGAACATAGTTAACTCCAAATTAAACACCATCAAGGATGTGAACTCTTGATTTGGCTGCTTTAATTAAAGAATAATCAGCTTGATCTTGTATTTAAAGTTTCTGACCATCAACTGTTTGTTCTCATATCAGGAAATCAGCTATCTTTGCTCTTTCTATAGTTGTTGCTATAAAATAATCACATAGCAAACTGAGTAAAATTCAGCAAGTCTGGCGGTAGCTCTCCAGCTGTACAATAATACTTTCTTAAATAATTTTAATTACGGTATGTGGCTACACTCTGACTCAGTGGTTATAGACCAGTGTAAAAAAAAATAGCAGATTTTGGTTTACTAAATGCTTTTTAGAATAAATGATTAAAAATAAAAGCAAAAAAACTGCACTATGAGCCTATAAAGCATTTTAGCCTGAAAACTGAACAGTAGTTTTGGAATTCCAATTTTTAAAGACATATTGTGAATGCCTATTATTCTGAAATCAGGCCCAAAATTCGTGCTGGTATTATCTGTAGATTTAACTTGGGACAGTTCACCATTTTCATCATGTACTCTATTTCTATAAAATATTTCTGTATTTTGTGGGTGGCATCTATTTTCCTTTCTTGCCCTATCCAGAAAAACATGCACAGTCCATTTTGAATGTTGCAGAAAATATCCTTAATTTATTAAGTCTTTATAGGTAGTCCTCGACTTATGACCACAACTTATGACCACAAACCGCTAGGCGAGATCATCCGTGGTTTTGGGGTGAGTGTTAATCAGTATGCTGATGACACACAGCTATACATCTCCACCCCAGACCACCCCAATGATGCCCTTGCTGTGAGGTCCCGTTGCCTAGAGGCCGTGCGGATCTGGATGGGGAGAAACAAGCTCAGACTCAACCCCTCCAAGACTGAGTGGCTGTGGCTTCCGGCGTCCCGGTATAGTCAGCTAGTACCATCACTGACAATAGGGGATGAGATCTTGCTCCCCACAGAGAGGGCCCGCAACTTGGGTGTCCTCCTGGATTCATGGTTACCTTTAGAAGATCATTTGACGGCCGTGGCCAGGGGTGCCTTTTATCAGGTTCGCCTGATCCGCCAGTTGCGTCCCTTTCTGGATCGGGATGCCTTGCACACGGTCACTCATGCCCTAGTTACCTCCCGTATGGACTACTGTAATGCTCTCTACATGGGGCTCCCCTTGAAAAGCACCTGGAGGCTCCAACTGGTCCAGAACATAGCCGCGCGGGTGATTATGGGTGCAGCTCATTACGCCCATGTAACACCTCTCCTACGCGAGCTGCACTGGCTCCCAGTGGTCTTCCGGGTGCGATTCAAGGTGTTAGTTATCACCTTTAAAGCGCTCCATGGCTTAGGACCTGGGTACCTACTAGACCGTCTTTTGCCACCAATAGCCTCCCACCGACCAGTTCGTTCTCACAGGGAGGGACTACTCAGGGTACCATCAGTCAAATTATGTCGACTGGCGACTCCCAGGGGGAGGGCCTTCTCTGTGGGGGCTCCAACCCTTTGGAATGAACTGCCCCCGGAGATACGGAATATCCCTGATCTCCGTGCTTTCCGCCGTGCCCTCAAGACCCTGATGTTCCAACAGGCGGGGCTAAACATACGAACATGTGAATGATTTTTTAAATGTTATCTAATTCTGGGTTTTATTTAATTGACCAAACTAAGTAATAATTTTAATTAGCAATTTTATGATGTTTGTGTGTCTATATTTTTCTTGACTGTACACCGCCTTGAGTCCTATGGGAGAAAGGCGGTATAGAAATATAATAAATAAATAAATAAATAAATAAACAAACTGGGCCCAAAATTTCTGTTTCTAAGTGAGATATTTGTTAAGTGAGTTTTACCCCATTTAAAAACCTTTCTTGCCACAGTTGTTAAGCGAATCACTGCCATTGTTAACTTAGTAATGCAGTTGTTAAGTGAATCTGGCTTCCATATTGACTTTGCTTGTCAGAAGGTTGCAAAGAGTGATCACATGACCCCAGGATAACACAACCATCATAAGTATGAGTCAGTTACCAAGCATCTGCATTTTGATCATGTGACTATGAAGATCCTGCAACAGTCATAAGTGCAAAAAACGGTCCTATCCTTTTTATCAGTGCCATTGTAACTTCAAACGGTCACTAAATGAACTGTTGTAAGTTGTACGTATACTTATAGATCCTGTACAAATTTATATAAAAATATTTGTTATTGGCAATTGGGTGATTTGTTCATAGCTGTAGATCTGTAACTTATACATTATTTTTCTGAGAATGTTTCATAGTCTAAAGATGAACCAGTCTAAAATATAAAGGGGAGAAAGTAACAGAGAAAGGGAAGACAAATGATAGGATAAAAAGGTAAAGTTAAAAGCCTGAAGAAAAGTGCTTTTCAAAAATATTGATGTTTGGTTTATTAAAGAGTTGGTCTAATGACTTTGTGAAAAACTATGAGTTTTGAAGAAGATACATATATGAATGTGGAAAAAATGACATAGTACAATGCCTATGTTCAAGGAGAAAATAGCATTAGTGGAAGCTGAGAATGAGTCATACCGGAAAGTAAAAGATTTTTAAGTAGTTGAGAGTGGTGAAGCGAAGGCTACAGCCAAGGACATAATGAAAATTGACAGTCAAATTTAGTGTTAGTCAAAGCTACAAAAAACTGAACGTAAGGAGTGATATTTTCATTATTAATGACATATCTACTATTACTTTCCTTGGAACTGTTCACACTGATATGTACTCTTACATCATGATGTAGGCAATACTGATGGGCTTTCCTATGCCTCCATCTTTACAAGATTCTGACTGAACCAAGTTATGCACATGATTTCTGCTTTGAACCATAGTGCCAATTTTCAAAGTGTTTGAAATGGGCTCTAGTAGTCATAAAAAAAAGGCCCAAGAGCAATATAATGCCCAGGGATTACAGGTTGCCTACTCTACGTCTAGTTAGATCCACATTTGAATCAATACAGGACAGTACCTGTTTATTTGTGCTGAATATGGAAGAAGGAAGCGAGATGGTGGAAACAATATTGGAGATGGCAAAGGAATATGGGTCACATAGAAGGATTAGACAAGATTAGTACAATAGAAGAGAAGAAGGAAAGGAATGGTAAAGATCAAGAAGGAAATTAAAGGCAAAGTTGGAGGATGACTGAGATGTATTAAAACAAGTTTAATATTGCCACTGAAGGAATCAAGGTCTTTAGGCAGACATTAGAACAAAGGAAAAGGGATGTCATAGTATTACACTTCTACTATTTATTTGATTTAGAGGGTAGAGCTTTAAATGCATGGGCGCTTCATAGGCCACATACAAATTTAATTCTATTTTTGTCATACCATCAATTTTAAGCAATATGATTCTTTCTTATATTATACTCTGGCTTCCAAATTTATAGGAAATCAACAACCAGTTGTCTTTACCAGCCATCCAATGGGAAATGCAAATGGGGATTCGTTGCTGTTCTAAAGGCCATATTATTTTTGCAACCAAGGATTGCATGCAAGACAAATTGCCCATGCTTGGTGAAAACCAATAAATGACATTCTACCAACACAAATGGAGAGATATCGAGCAGATTCTACATGTATTAGTTCTCATGAACAGAAAAGGCTTCATTTCTTCTGTTTTTAAATACCCACTAAACTATGAAAGCTGCATATCTCTTATTTAGTGATTCAGGCAAAAAATAATAATAATTGAATTCATAATTCTACAAAGTAATAGTAAACAATGAGGGATCCACCTGGGAAGCAAAGCCAAAGAAAGACTCCTTCCCACATAAACCCCCATATATATCTTTTAAATGCTATTGAATGCTACAACATTTGATTCCTGTAGCATGGAAAATGCTAATAGATATTGTCAAATAATTGTATAGTGCTGAACATTTGAAAAGCATATCACATTCCCAGGAATAGCTTATATAATTCATTCTTTATAAGAAAAAACATGCTAATTTGTTTACCATTCCAACAGTGAAATTTTTAAAGGCAAAAATTAATACGTTATTACTGCAGGTGTTTAAAAGTTAAGTTACACCAAGGTGTAAAAGATAATACCCAATAAAATAAACAAACAATAGTATTAAACAGCAAAATTGTGAAAGGAAAGCTGTTTGCTATAGTTTCCTTTGGAATTTTACCTCAGCAATTTTTAAATTCTATGCTCTTAGTATCTGCATCCAAACATGTAGGTTTAGATGTTTTATTGCATATATAAAGAGTTGTGAATTACCTTGTTCTTCTGAAGAGTTAGCTGTTGTTATCTGCATTTTATGAATGTTTATTAAAATCAATTCCTAACAGATATACAACATGTACAATTTCACAGTAGTAGACTAGTGAAGGTAATACAAATTAATCAGTGATATACTTACAGTTGCATTTTTTCTGCACAAATCTAAGCTTGCATGCTGTTCGGTAGGTGGACAAACGGATACGATCCAGATCTTGAGCCCCTAAAGGTGGAGAAGTATATGTGCTAAGATATATGTGTTCTGTGCCTAAATATCACCCAACAATACTTACATAAGCTTTCTCTAGGATATTTTAGAGCCTTTTCTTACCTACACAGTTAATTTTGGGTAAAAGGTTTTACCAAATGGGAAGTTTCAATTTATGACATTGAAAGCCAATATAGTTTTATTAAATAAATATGTTGCCTGACTCCCAATATGATCAAATCACAAGCAAACAATATAAAGGAAATACCAAACAGCTGAGTTCCAATACAGGGAAAGTTCTTAAAATTAACAGTTTAGTTCACATAAAAAGCTCCTTTGAACTGAAGTCCTGGTGACTTCATGGACATTTCCTACAGGGTTTTATTTGATTGATTGATTGACTGATTGCCATGGTCCTCATGAAGGCAGACACGGCATGGCAAGCTAGTTTATTAAACATACTCAAACATTTCAGTGAAAGTTTAATCTATTGATTATGACAGGGAAAGATTATCTTTCTCCAACCAAGGGCAACAGTTATTATTTTTTTAGCAACCATGAGTTAAGACAGGGATGTGTCACCATTACCCAAGTCCTAGGCTTTTGAAGACTTCTTTTGTTTCTAGGTACTTGGAAAGTTAATTTTTATCAGTAATGGACACAGAGAATTAACAAACCTATTCCTTTAATTCTCTTCCTAGTATTAGCAGGAAATCATACTGTCATAATTCTGTGGTTCACTCTCCCGAAGAATTTGGTAATATTTTGGGAGGCATCAAAAAAGGCTTCTGCTGTTAACAATGAATTGCCCTTTCCTTATTTATGTAAACCAAGCTAGAAAAGCAGTCAGTTGTATATGTTAGCATCAAGTGTGACTCAGTATCTTTGCTTGACTGAAGCTGATATGTTATCTTTAAACAAGATATGACCTACTTACGGTCTCTGGATAAATTTGTTTATGACATTCATTGGAGAACACAGATTGCAAGAAGACTCTTTGCCTGAGCACTTACTATGTTCTAATTCATCCAGTCTATTTGTAACATTGGAGCAGAGGTGATCTTAATCTGGGGAATCTCTGAAAAAACAGCAGGAAGGGAAAAAAACCCAGTGCTCTACTCTGCAAGCAGAAATCCGTTTTTTATTACAAGTAGGCAAAGATAATTCTCCAAGGTAAAATCAAACAGCTTCAGTCTTATGATTCAAAGATACTGTTTACAGTTTTCAGAATATAAAGAAATATGTTTTGGTTATGATAAAATAATGAAATTTAACTAGCAAAATGAGAGCATTTCATCGGTTAGCCCAGCAAGAGGAAAACAGACGGTTTTTTCCCCACTCTTCATTGCCACTAACAAAACTTGTACTTATTTTTTCTCTTTCATCTGCCAAATACTCTAGACAAGTTCTTTTTATCAACTAACTGCTTCAGTGCAATCTGTGGCTGGCAAAGATTGTCCTGAACTATTCAGTGTTTCTGCCTGGGAATTTACTTTAATCACTGGTCATGTTGTCAAACACATAAAAAACCATTTCAGTGAAGCCCAGTTTTCCCCCCTCTTTTTTTAATGTCATGTTAACTATTGAATATTACTAAGTTTGCCTTTTGCTTTTTAAAATATTTCTGGGATTTTAAAAAAAAATTGTTTTAGCACAGTTTTATTTAATTTCTTGTCAAAGATAATACATTTATTTTTCAAAGGATTGAGTCTTTTGATGGACTTCCATAATAATAATAATTCCACAAGTATTAATTGGGTCATTAACAATGGGACTGAGTAATAGTAATACAGAGCTTCAAGATTTGTTTGAAGGAGCAATCCATCATATTGATAAGTCCTAAGATGCAGTTGAAGTGCATTCGCAAAACAAGTGACATAGCTTTGAATCTTTCTATATATAGGTATGTTTTGTATACTGTATTATAATGCTATTTTATTTGGACTTCGCTTGTGGCTGATGAGAGCAGAAGTTTAAAATACTTAGATGGCTTTAGTTTGATGACCAGGTGCATTGTGAAGGATCCAGCTCAACTGAAAGTTAAAGTATCTTAATTAGGGTGCACATAGTGGTGGGATTCAACCAGTTCGCACCACTTCGGGAGAACTGGTTGTTAACTTTCTGAGCAGTTTGGCACACTGGTTGTTGGAAGAAATCATTAGGGCAGAGAACCGGTTGTTAAATTACCTGAATCCTACCACTGGGTGCACAGCACATTAATTTGAATGTAAAAAGGTCCTTTGGAGCGTGTGGCATTTGTTTACATATTTCTTCTGCTATTGCATAGATGTCCTTCAATGGCACCACATGATTCCAGGAAAAGACACATTCAGGTTAAGAACTGCAGACAGCTGCTACATGTATGATTCCTTATAGTTCAAAAACCTTTTGTTTCTTTTCAGCCTGAAGCATTGCAGAGTTTTAATATTAATGTCAACGTCATACTGTTTCAATTCTACCCACAAAATAAAATGCCAAATAACATTTGTATTCTGGCAAACTTTTAAACATATTCAAAATTAAGAAACTAAAAATGTAATTTAAGAAACTCAGAAAAATGTCAGTGTGTTGCTTGGGATTGACCAAGCCAAAATAAATTACTTAGATTACATAGAACAAGATACACATGAGATTATACAGAATTAGAACAGCCTTTGACTTTGGTTTCTAAACATTGGGGAAAATTCAGTCCCAACAAATTGGGTCAGCATCCATTGAAGAAAATGGAATTACAGTGAGAAAATATATTTGAATTTCAGTATGGTTATTGGTGAGAAACAATGGCTTTGACTGTTCGCATTCCTTTTCTCCCAGAGAAAGAATATTAGAGATATATATCTATATCTGCATTGAAATAATTTTAAAAAGCAGCATTTTGTCAATTAAATATAGTTTCTTGCTCCTGCTTTGTGTTGAAAATTCTTACTTTGTAGAACAAACTGCCTATAGCCCAGGGCAAAAATCCATGTAATATTTACCACGGGTATATTCTATCTTGTTGGCCTTTTGCAAGAAATTTAACATCTGTCGGAAAAACAACAGAACAAAATGTAACATGCCATAGCACTTACGCATTTCTGCAAACAGCTGCCTCCTTTCTGCCATGGTAGCGCCTCTTTTCCCACAATCTTCAATCATTCTAAGCAAAAAAATATTAAACATACCTTCAGAACCATTTTCAAACTAAGGACATAAAATATATGAAAAGTTCCAGTGCACTGTTTTTCCAATTCTATATTCAATATTTATTTATTTGATTTCTATAGCCTCCCATCTCAACAAATGACTAGACAGCATACAACATAAAACATAAAAACAATTAAAATTATTAAAACAATACAAAATAAATATATATGGCACCAAGTAAAAGTGTTATTATGGATGTTAATATAGCCTGGAAATGCGGGCCAGTCTAAATATGTGGCTGACTTTGCAACTAATCATAATGTTTAAAGCCATTTGAAACTTTTAGACGAAATTATATTGAAATGTGTTCACCATTGGGAAACAAAAGGAAGAACATATAGCTCAGTTTCAGTTTAATTTCAATTCAGTTTAGTTTAGAATGTCGTATGGAGAAAAAATCCATACCTTCCCAATACTGGATTATAAACTTCAGATTATAAATTTCAGTCTGATTCCCTTCCTGCATTTCTTTTAACAATCAAGATTTATCTATCAGCTGTTTTTTTCAGCTATACATTTAACACCAATTCTTGAATATCAGAAAATTGTTCTGTGTTCTTTCATAAGATTTCTTATAATTGAAAAGTGCTAGTAGCATCTGTCTGTTCTACACATAGATGAGGTACATAGAATATGGCAGGAAAAAAAGAGCTGCTAGTTTAATCAAGTGTGATAATTCAATAACTGTGTGTTCAATTTTTGCCTTGCAAGAAGGAGGAGGAGGAGGAGGGGAAGGAGAAGGAGAAGGAGGAAAAGATTTAAAAAAAACATTTCTTTGATTATTTCTATTGATAAAAACAGAGGTTTTTTTTTAATTTCACTATAAATAATGAAAGAAATTAAATGTTATAATTGGACCCATAATCAAATTATGTTTATTTTACTTTATTGCTCCTGTTGGGGGCTTATTGTGTGAGAAACATTTTAACTGTTGGCCCATATTATTTTTCTGATTTAAACTTTACCCAGAGTCTATTAATATATATTTATAATAATATACAAATTCCTATATATTAACATTTTTTCCTCTAGTAGGGTTAAAAACAAATTTAAAGGTGACCAGCAAGAGCAGATAAAAGCTGGCCCATTTGTCAAAGCTAACACTGATTTTAACATCAGATAAAGTGATATTATACTAGAGATCTGGAAATCATATATTTTTCTTTTTTGAAGCAATAGGTTTGGACAATATAATACATTATGAGTCTACAATAATATGTGTCTATTTATATCCCCTTCATCCATGCATCCAAGAGTGATTAATACAACAGAAACTAGAAACAGAAAAATATTTATTTTGGCTTCTGCCTTCTTCAGCTGTTGTGAAATAGTGGAATGTTTAGTGAATATACTACATAAATTTCTCTGTAATATTCCAAGTATCTATATTAGACAAATGGAAATGTATAATAGTTCACACGCTGTCAATTTTTATTTATTAAATTAAATTAATAAATTCTGGCAACTGTAAGTATAACGTCATGGTCAGAATAATTCACAAAATTAACCAACAATATTTAAGGATTTGGTGATATTGGACATCAATTATATTCCTTCAAATTAGCTCGATTTCCTACAGATCAGTCTTCCAAAATAGGCAAATATTTATTTTATATATATGCAATGAATTCTTGTGATAACACAAACTTTATGTCAACGTACTATAAACTAGCTATGTAGTATGGCAATCTGAGAGGATAAACTCTTTATGGCTACTACTATAACAGCCGATGAAATGGGAATATGATTTGAATCATCCACTATAAAAAGAATAAATATGAAGACTCCGAAAATCTTACGTTGGGTTGTATTTAGGAAGAAACAGTACAGTAGATCAGAAAGAGATTAAAGTTGTTTTTTCATTTATAATACATTAAAAATCATGAAAGGACATCACAATCAAGAAGGTCATCTATCATCTATATGTTTCCAATATGATACAAATTCAATACAAATTAACCTTGTTTTAAAGCACCAAAGCAATTGTATCAGTATTTCCAGAATTGCTCTAGAAGAGGCTGAGAGGTACAGTATATTTTGAAGTGAAACTGTTTGTTAATGGAGTTACTGTTATCTTCCCTTATAGGTATTTAATGGTTTCTTCTGAGAACTGAAACAATAATTTAAATTATTATTGATCTGAAGAAGTAAATGCCATGTATCATTCCCTCAAGTAGAAAACTCAGGTAGTTAGATTGAAACAAAATGAGGGCTTCTGAAAACAATGAGAGAGATAAATAGCACTTCTAGATAAGCCCAACTGTTAAAAAACAAACAAACAAATGACTGGCCTAAGTTATTCAGTAAGTTTCCATGGTTGAGGATGAATTTGAACATGTTCTCCTGATCCTGCCTAGAGCATGAATCACTACACCATATTACCTTGGATGATAAGGGCCCCTTTACAACTTGCTGAATTTTTGGGGAAGGGTGGTACAACTACAAAGAGAAGAACCCACAGAAGCAGTCATTTTAATATGCAAAAAAATATTGCTATTTTTTTATTACAGAGGCAAGCTGTGTTTTCATTTCTAAATATTTTAAAAAGCAAGCATGGAAACATGAAAAACCATGTAAACCTTTCTGAGAACCAATATGCCATTATTCATTATTTTGAAATTGTTAATATTGTACAATTCAGCTTTTTCTGATGTTTTATGTGATATAACTTATGCCCTTTCTCTGTATTTCAAAAGCAAAGTGTCAAGATCAATCTCCCTTCATTTGGGTAAGAAATGCCAAGGATAATGTTCACTGAGATGCATTTAGAGATATAGGTCTTTGTGAGACTTGTGGAAATGGATTTTTTAAACTTTTGTTTTCTAGTGGCAGCGAAGATTGAACAATACTGTTCCATTTTTTTTTCTGCTTTCAAAATTTCCACTTTGCATTTTAATCCAAATATTGATCCCCCAACTAATGGTGGGCCAAGTTTTTGACACATGTCTAGCCGCCCTGAGTCTTCGGAGAAAGGCGGCATATAAATTGAACTAATAAATAATTATTCACAACATTTACATGATCAGGTAAGGGTTGTATGGGGATCAAAACACAGACCTTTCCTTATAAGATTTTGTTAGCTCAAAAGATGGGCATTTTGTGCAGATTTAGAAAAGTTTTCATCTGAAAAAGAAGCCTTGAACCCAAATCCCTCAGTATCATCAATGCCTCTTTGGCTACACCAGGAGGCTATTGGCTAATTCAAATATAAAGGCTGAGACCCTGCAGAGCTCATAAATCTACGCATCCATGATGATTTAGAGTGACTGCTGGGGTGACGGCTGGGGAAGAAAAGGCTTCTTGGGGAAAAGTTAAGCTTCTTTGAGAATAATTCCCTCTTCTGATTATCATCTCTGAAAAATTAGGTTCTGGCTCTAAGTATAAACTCTGGAGGCAGGATCATAAAAGTTTTCAGTTAACTGAAGACCAATGCTACAGCAACATTCAATTACATTTTTTCTTGCTGCTGTCTCATTCTTGATAATAGGATTTTCATGAACTTAACTGCCTGGATATATTAACCAGTACATGGAACCCATTGAGTACTGTCTGCTCAGTATCTGATTTTCTGTACCTCCTGAATCTTGCTTTGCAGTTGTATTATGGAACAGATATTAAAATATTAACGAAAACTAACCGTTCTAATGGTGCCACCATTCTTAATTTCCTTAGACTGCCCGAGTTGAATTATTGCAGGTTGTTAATTTGCTTCCAGTTTTCAGTTCATTAAGTGTAACCTACCACTCCAGATCCTGAAGTAAATAGTATTCTGCTAACTTCACCTCATCTAGATGTGCTAGACTTCAACTTTCATTATTCCCAGAAAACAAGGCCAATAGCTAGGCTGCTCAGACTATGATTCATGGAATATATGGTGGACAATGGACAGTGTTATACCTTGCTTTAGGATCAAAAGCTATTAAATAGGATATAAATAGGATTCCTGAAATATTTTTCTTATTTTTAGCAATCAGGGGAATTAAGCTCAAATCTGAAACAAAAGGACTGTACTGCTATTGGGTACCTAAGAAAAATGTGGAGAAGAATTTAGCTTTGGCCTTGAGAGGAATGCAGGAGAGGTTGCTTATTTGCCGGAAAATAGAAAATGATACTGACTCAAGATAGCCTTACCTTTATCTTATTGTCATTCAAAAGGAGGCAGGGAAAATTTGGAACAGGCTTTAAAGATTCTGTTAATATACCCTTCAACAATAAATAACATTCCTGGAATCATTGGTTTTTTTCCTTTCTTTTCTTGAGCAGCTTTTCCTTGAAGGGCCTTGAAGGAGGTATGAACAAGCTGAGTCTATTTAGCACCTTCAATCACAAATTCAGAAACCAGATCAAGAGAATTATTATGTAAGGAATGAAGGACCTTTAATGGCTTCCTAAGTTGCATGGTTCTTCTGAACTAATTATAGCTTCTTTTCTGACTCACGTTCAGTGAGAAAAGCACAGTTCACACTATTAATACCACTTGCTCGGGTTGTGGTCCACAGTGGAAGAAGCTCAGGGACCAGGGTTCAGCTACTGACTCTGTATGCCCAAGAGTGCTGTATACTGTGCCTAGTTCACCTCCAAATTGATACAAACATAGGGATGGGATTTGCAATGAAGGACTGGTATAGGAAAAAAGGCCATTGCTGGTTGTAGAAGATAAATAAATTAGGACTTCTGGTAATGCTTCCAGGATGGGTTGGTATTTGGTGCTTGGCACAGGAAAAATTAAAAGTGTATCTCTGCTCTGAGTTCGCCTTGAGCAACAGCTGTTCCATCAAAACTACATCAAGCTATAACCAACCTAGAACTACTATATGCTTGTATGCACATGCATGCATGTGTGCATAAAATAAATCTGGAAAAAGAAAACTTTGCATATTAAAGTGCTGTGCTAACTATAACAAAGAAAAAGCAATTAAAATGATAGAAGGCATATTGGGGTTCCTTGTTCCT